AATGAAATTGAAATGGAAGCGAAAAAATATCTATCACCAGGAATTGAAACGGCGATATACGTGGCGATTCTTGAAATACGGTGTAGAAATAATTATATGAATACGTATTATGATACAAGATTCGTTTACGATAGTTTCGAGTAGCTCCCTACGATGTTCATCGGCCGTAGCTGGAGTTCACCATTAGCCTCTAGGAAGATGGTCACAGACGACAGCAAAGAGGCATCCCTCTCAGGGTCTCTCACACACACGAGAAGCTCTCGGCAGAAATGGCCCTCATTATCCATATAGCACGACATGAGCACCTACAGGAGATATTCATACCACAAGCGTGGAGACTTATCCCACCCAGAGCCTGGCAGCGGCATCCCCACGACTTCGGATGTTCCTGATGCATTCTGATGCCACTCCTTGCAGGGGCACCAACAAACTGCTCATTCCAACACCGACGACGCCCGAATCGAAGAATCTGAGGTCGGGGAAAGGCCGCCTTCTGGGATCTGCAACCCCAGTGTTGGAATCCATGTTCACTTTCCCCAACTGAGCTCAGGAGTTCACTCACTACGAAAGTTCAAAACTATAATATTTCGCATGAGAATTCGGGTAGAAGTGTATGTACAAAAACCAATAATAATTTCCTCATATTTTTCACCAATACATATGCATGTTTTTCCGCACAGAGAGTAAGCACTAACTACGAGAAGGCTTACTTGTAATCATAGTCGATCAGTTGTCGAGGTGTCATATTTTCCCACATTTTAGCGTCGGTCTTAGCCCGCTGCAGTTCCTCAAATAAACTTCTTCTGCGAGAAGCATCATAGCCGACTACTGCGGACAAACGCTCAACTATGTTCCAGTCTACTGCGGTAGCCTGATAGTATCGTCTTCATGCAACATCGATCTCAGATGCCACCTACTTTCCCCGCCTCAGAGCTCATATTCACAGTGTCGAGGAGAATGACCCCAAGGAGCATCCCGCACAGGGAAGAATCTAGTTCTCTAGATGCAGTAGAGAGATACTCACGGGCGACCAGTGTACAGCAGCTACCACATGGTTCGATTATGCGATCAGCACCCTGGAGATCCGCATACCTACTCGAGACACGGTCTATCAATAATCTCAATAGAGGAGTTACTTCCCAGCATCAGCATGGTGATCGACAATACCAATAACAGTAGTGTGTGGAACTTCCATTGTGAGCTCATTGTGATCAACAATAA